AAACTGCGGGAAAACAAAGCAGTGCAAGTCTGAAATGCCAAACCACTTCTGATCCGGCTCATTTCCGGTAGGGGCAAGCACTGTGTGAAATGACAGCCCTGTACCGGTTCACTTCAAAACGGATGATTGCCGGCTTGAAACCGGGTGAAACTGGGTAATGTGAAATTCCCCTCTGTGTCTCACAGTGGCCAAGACCCAGGTGTCATCAGGAGGTCCTACCAGCACAGCCAAAACTCCAGAAGCCCTCCCATTGTTGCCCCCCAAGCACCAAGAATACAGCACCATATTTGCTATGAGGGTTTAAAGGGAGCCTCTATGTATGGAAGCAGGATGTTGCTGAATATCAGCATGGAGTGGAGGTAATAATTGAGATCGGCTTGGGCCTCTGGGCCCTGTGCTTAGGCCTTCAGTTGCCCTCTGAATGAAACAGGATGCTGGACTAGTTATTTACTATTTGTATACCATTCTTCCATGAAGCCCAAAGTGGACTAGATGGATCATTGGTTGTCTCCACTATGGCTGTCATTATATGGGATTCTTGGGGGACTTCTGGCTGGCCATTGCTGAAGAGAGAATGCTGGACTAGATGAGCCTTGGTTCTCATCCTAAAGAAGTCTTCCTGTGTCCTAATGAAGTACGACTTGAAGACCCCAGGGCACGCAGACTGCAATGGGTTCAAAGTCCAACGGATGCCTGAGTCGAAAGACTTACAGCACCATCCTTCCAAATACCCTTCCAAGTCCACTGAGGTCAACGGGTTTAGAAAGGTACAGCCATTACAGCTGTTCCGCAGAGGTTGGCAGCTGTAACTTTTATCCACGTTAACTCAAAGAGACGGAAGAGTTCAAATCTGTTTTAACAAAGAAATGGAGGGAGGGAGGGGAAAGCTCTTTCCTTCCTGCACCAGGGGAAGGGGGAAAAAAAGAATGTAAAAAAGGATGCTACTTAGTATGCATCTTTCGGCCACATGTCAATACAAGAAAGTTGACATGGCTATAATGTAGGAACTCCCGCTGTAGCTGTTCAAGCTAAGTAAGAGATTCCTTTTTATGTCTTTCATCTCGCCTCAATATGTTCCAACTTAGTTTGACTGAACTCAACCAATTCTTTCCATGTGTTTCGTATTTGACCCGAGCGCTGTCCAAGAGCGGCATAGCCTATTCTTCCGTTTCTTCAATAATACTCCTTGGCTAAATGGGTTTGGATTATACTTTGATTCTCCTATTTTTCAAATTAAATATGCAAAATATCATACGGCTGAGGGAGGGACGTGAAGGAGGGCCAGTGGGGAATCGCGGTTCGAGAGTCCGACCGGGAGGCGGGACATCCAGATCCAAATACCTGCTCTGCCATTCAACTTATTGGGTGACTCTAAACCAGTCGGCCTCTCTCAGCCTCACTTACCTCACAAGCAGTGTTCCCTCTAAGGTGAGTTAGTGTGAGCTAGCTCACAGGTTTTTTGCCTCTGGCTCACACACTTTTGTCTTAGCTTAGGAAGGATGCCTCCAGAGCAAACTAATTTAGGCAGCGTTCAAATCGCTCGCTCACAACGAGAGCCAGTCTGGTGTAGTGGTTAAGTGTGTGGACTCTAATCTGGGAGAACCGGGTTTGATTCCCCACTTGCACCTGGCTGGATGACCTTGGGCAAGCCGTAATTCTGGCACAGCTGTTCTTGAAAAAGAGCAGTTTCTGTCAGAGCTCTCTCAGCCCCACCTACCTCACAGGGTGTCTGTTGTGGGGAGGGGAAGGGAAAGGCGTTTGTAAGCCGCTCTAAGACACCTTTGGGTAGTGAAGGGCGGGGTATAAATCCAATCTCTTCTTCTTCTTAATGCCAGTAGCTCACAAAGTAGAACTTTTTGCTCACAAGACTCCACAGCTTAGAGGGAGCACTGCTCACAAGTCGTTTGTGAGGATCCGTGCAAGAGGAGGAACCATGGCCACTAGTTTTTTTATGTTTTTTTTCCTGAAGCCTTTTTTGTTTTTTTCCAAAAAATTGGAAAAATTGAAAAAAGAAAAGAAAAAGAAGAAAACTGATTATGGAAAATTTTATTTTAACATGATGAATAAAATATTTTAAGACAAGGTGTTCAAATATTTTCCAAATCATTTCTAAAAAATATGTATGGTATCAGATTGATCTAATTTCTGTGCACGAAGGACAAGCAGGTCCTAGGTTACAAACTGAACTCTCCAATGCAAGAACAAGATGCATTTCTTCCTTTAGGAGGTGCTATTGTCACAAGAAAAGAAAAAGGTCTCAGCTTCTGTTTGTAATAATTGTTTGGATACACTATATTTTTAATATGCTAGCTGTGATAATTTCATGCCAAGTAAAAATGTCCATAGTCATATTTTATGTTCCTAAAGTAACAGAACGACTTTCAATCTGGAAAAGAAAAAAGAAGTGCTAATGTAGCATCTTTTTTCAATTTTTCCAAAAATTTCCGTTCTATTTCCGAGCTTCAAAATTTCTGGAAATTTTACATCTCTAGGCCAGGTCATTGTGCTTGGCCTTAACCCTGCATGAACTCAACGCGTTCACCCTAGGAGACAACCATGATTCCCTGGAGCCGCACAGTTTCCGACGAGGAGACACTTGATAATCTGTACTTCAAACTGCTGGTCCATGTTACCCATCTTTATTTATTCAACTTCAATCTTCTCATTGAGGGGCTCCCAGTAAGCCCCAGGGTTTACACCGGAATGCAGTTTGGAAGTGGATGCTTTTAAACCCCACTGATCAGTGTCACCAGTTGGTTGACAATTTCCTCTTGCCTAAAACAAGCAGTCCCCAAGGAATTAAAGACGTTAGCTAGGAGGTTTAAAGATCAAGGTGACTGGACACGCTTTCCCAACATGGGCAACATTGATCTTTTTAAGGATTACCAGTTCACGGAAGCCATCATCTTTCGGCGTCAGATACGGAAGACGGCTCTCTCCAAGTTCTTCAAGGAGTTTCCGCTTCTGCAGATGTAAAATAAACGGGTTATTATACAACACAGATCAATATTTATATATAAATATATAAGCACAGCAATATTGCAAGACATTTGAAACTCATCTCTGACCAATACAGCAGAGTCAAAGGGCGCTAAGACTCTCAAAAGCTTATACCCTGGAATCTTTGTTGGCCCTTAAGTTGCTCCTGGACTCGAACTGCTTCACTCTAGCAATGATAGTCACTCAGTGTCCTGGGAGCAACCTGTGCTCTTTTGACACGTAACCTGTGGCTGTTCTGAGCACTGTTGTCCAATGTGGCACCTGTCCCATGTTTCAGAAAAGCGGGCAAACCCCTTGCCTGGTGGGGCTTGTGGGTGGCAAGTAGGCCCCTGGTCTAGGCGGGGGATCCCCCAATTTGGGGGGCTTCTGTCTGCTGCCGGCCAGGTGGCCGGCAGGGGAAACCCTGCCCTGGAACAGCAGCATCACATGGCGACGTCGCCGACACAATGTCATCACATGGAAATGACATCATCACGTCAGCCGTGTCGTGCAGTGACGCTCTGCTTTTGGGGCAAAAACTCTATGGTTTGAGCTCAACTTTAAGCACAGAGTTAGCCCAAAAAGCAACATGTTGCCACAATGACGTCACTTCCGCGCGACATCATCACATCTGGGAGGTTGCTGCCCACTCCCAGACTGCCCCCCAAATCCCCCCCGCCAGCATGACAATCGTGCCTGGCAGGGCTTTTTTTGTAGAAAAAGCCCAGCAGGAACTCATTAGCATAATTGGCCACACCCAACAGCAGAAACTCATTAGCATATTAGGGCACACCCCTGCCAGCACAGGTCATTAGCATATGAGGCCACACTCCTGTGTGACCAGAAGTGTGGTCATCCAGCCACACCCACCTTTTGCTTCTTATTCTGTTTACCTTGTTTGTTGTCAAAACCCAGGGCTTTTTTTGTAGCCGGAACTCCTTTGCATGTTAGGCCACACACCCCTAATGTAGCCAATCCTAATGAGTTTCTGCTGTTGGGTGTGGCCTATTATGCTAATGAGTTCCTGCTGGGCGGGGCCAACTCGGGAGCCAGCCGGAACTCCGTTCCTGTGTGTTCCTGCCCAAAAATAGCCCTGGCCTGGCAACCCTATTGACAGGTGGTCCCCCCCCCCTTGAAACATCCACTGTCAAAGCAGTGGGTAAGCAGCGAGCCTTTCTGAGGTGTACGCCTCATGCCGGGTATCGAACTATATGTGGCTCTTGTGGTTGACGGCAACTGCAGCTCTCACCATGTTAGGGTTGCCAAATGGGCCTAGGGGGCGGGGAATCCCTGGCTTCGGAGGCCCGATTTCCGCCGCGGTGGAATCGGGCCCCAGGGAAAACCCCGCCCCTGAAGCTGCGTCACCAGAGGTGACGCAGCCACATCACTCATTTGGGGGCATGGCCCACATCGTCGGGGGGGGGGAAACCATATGGTTTTCCCCTCGACAATGTGGGCCACGCCCCCAACGTGAGCACGTAGCACGTCACTTCTGGTGACGTGCTGCCGGCGCCCGCGCGCGCCCCTGACAAACTCCCAGACACCAGCGAGGCTCCTCCGCTCCGAGGGGTGAGTCTACTTGGCAACCCTACTCCATGTGCTGCGGAGTGAATATTAATGCACTAGAGTCCCATTCTCATCTTGGGAGGAAAATGGGAGTTCCAGTAGCACCTTAGAGACCAACAAGAAGTTGCAGGTATAAGATTTCGACAGTCAAAGGTCCCTTCATCAGAACTGACGCGATTTGATTCTCAAAAGCTTATACCCCCCAAATCTTGTTGGTCTCTGCTACTGGACTCGAATCTGGCTCTTACCACTGCAGACAAACCCAGCTGCTCTCTCAAAGTCATTTAGTCAAGGGCTCCAATGCTTTCAGTTTTCCCCAGCTTCCAAGCCCCCCCCCCTTGAGTGCACAAAACCAGTAAGAAATCATATTAAAAGATCCTATAAAGAAGAAACATCTTCTCTGTGTGTGTTGTTCTTCAAGATCACCTTTAAAAATATCATCTCCTGTCACAAAAAGAGAGTGAAGGGAGAGCATGACAACATGTTCAGTTTATGGCACAAGATCCAACGCAATTCTTCCCGGCTTACATCTCTGATTTTGTTTCACGTTCCTTCGCTTATCTTCGTTTTCTGCGTCGTGTTACAAGACTAATGGATTTTTAAGTCTTCGCTGTACTTAGGGAAGCGGCATTTCTCAGGTTGAGTCAGTGGCCCTGAAAACCCCAACTTCGGCCTACGTGCGCTTTTCACATAGACTCTGCCAGCAACCACCACCAGAAAGAAGGGGGGGGGGGATTATAGAAAAAATGGCCTCTCTTTTTCTTCAATCGACTTGTCCTTTGCCTCCCACAAATCGAGAATTACACACTCGGAGAAAACTTATCTGTGTCATATACGTCTCAATCAGACTTTGCCTTCTGTGGCAGAACTAAGTTTGCTAATGAAAATCAACAGAAACAAACGGAAATTGTTACATAGGAGCTGGGGGAAACCAAAGAAAATAATAAGAGAACCACCAAAGATGAGCCATTAAGATGGTTGGGGGGGGGGGGGGGCGGGGGGGATAAACAAACGGAAACCAAGTCAACAAGAAGGTTTGCCAGCCTCCAGGTGGGGCCTGGGGATCTCCCGCTTTTGCAGCTGATCGACAGCCGACAGAGATCAGCTCCCCTGGAGAAAATGGCTGCTTTGAAGGGTGGACTCTGTGGCATTGGGCCATGCTGAGGCCCCTCCCCTCCCAAACCCCACCTTCTCCTGGCTCCACCCCCAAAGTCTCCAGGTATTTTCCAACCCAGACATGGCAGCCCTATCAACAAGGGACACTCTGATTGGTATCGCCACACCATGAGGGTAGGGGTGCCAAATGCAAACACACTTGTTCTGACAAAAAATGTTGCATTGCCACTGGGATTTGGTGTTTCTTGGTCCCCAGTCACAAATGCCCTGGGACTGAACAAGGTTTTGAACAGGTTTATTAGAACACACAGTATGCATATCTCTGATTTGCAATTTCAGTGCACATTTTATATATATTATTGCCTTGTATGCACATACCCAGCTTCCCTTAAAAAAGTAAGACTCTTCAAAGCCCATTGTTACAACCAATATTCCCTCTAAGGTGCGGAGTCTTGTGAGCAAAAATCCTACTTTGTGAGCGACTGGCATTAAAGCTGTGAGCGAGCGATTTGGCTGCTGCATACATCAGTTTGCTCTGGAGCCATTCCTTCCTGAACTAAGACAAAAATGTGTGAGCCGGAGGCTAAAAAACTGTGAGCTGGCTCACGCTAACTCAGCTTAGAGGGAACAGTGGTTAAACTCTAAACCTTTTCTTTCCTGGAAGAAGAGTGCAGGGGGAATACTTTTATAATATCTGTTGGTTGAATCCACCGGTTACATTCCATTTAGTAAAGAATAATCCATCAGAGGAGCTATTTGGGGGAAGATATAGTAGGTCGGTAAGTCATGCACTCATTTTCATGAAAACTCAACAACAAAGAACTGTCTGCCATAAATTTTGACAAAACAGAGGAAAAACCCCTAATATTTAAATCTGTCCATCCTTCATATGGGACAATTCAATGCATTTTACGGGACCTTGACACAACAAGTTCATGTCTGTTATACTCGTTTATCAGTCATGGCTTCTCCCAAAGAATCCTGGGAACTGTAGTTCTGAGACGGCAGCCAGTACACAATTGCCAGGGGTCTCTAGAGAGATAAAATAGCTACTAAGCCAGTGTGTTGATAATATAAATGCATCCTTACCATTTTTTACATTTGTTTTCAGATGATATTTAGGAACATAATAGGAATGCAATCAAACAAGCATTGGCCTGGCATTCCATAATTTCAACACAGCTGAACATGTGTGTGTTAAGTGCTATCAAGTCGCTTCCAACTTATGGCAACCCTATGAATTGTTGTTGTTGTTCAGTCGCACAGTCGAGTCCGACTCTTCGCGACCTCATGGACCAGCTCCCGCCAGGCCTTCCTGTCTTCCGCCGTCCTCTGAAGTTTGCTCAATTTCATGTTCGTTGCATCGATGACACTGTCTACCCATCTCATCCTTTGCCGTCCCCATCTTCTTTGACCTTCAATCTTTCCCAGCATCAAGGTCTTCTCCAGTGAGTGCTCACTTCTCATTGGGTGGCCAAGGTATTTGAGCTTCAGTTTCATTATCTGGCCTTCCAGGGAACAGTCAGGGTTGATTTCTTTTAGGATTGACTGATTTGATCTTCTTGCAGTCCAAGGGACTCTCAAGAGTGTTCTCCAGCACCATAGTTCAAAAGAATCTATTCTTCGGCGCTCGGCCTTCCTTATAGTCGAACTCTCACAGCCATACATGACTACTGGGAATACCATTGCTTTGACCATGCGGACTTTTGTTGGCAGGGTGATGTCTCTACTTTTTATCATGCTGTTTAGGTTCGCCATCGCTTTCCTCCAATGACCTCCAAAACATCCGATCGTTGACAGCCTTGGTCAGGTCTTGAAAACTGTGGCTTCCTTGATGGAGTCCATCCATCTCATGTTGGGTCTTCCTCTTTTCCTGCTGCCTCCCACTTCCCCCAGCATTATTGTCTTTTCCAGTGACAGTCTTTTCCAGCTGAACTTAAGGAGGTGGGAAACTGGGGGCTCAAAGTCCAGGGTGCAGGAAGAACGAATCCCTCCCTCTTTTGGTGTAGTGGTTAAGTGCGCGGACTCTAATCTGGGAGAACCAGGTTTGATTCCCCACTCCTCCACGTGCACCTGCTGGATGACCTTGGGCAAGCCATAGTCCTGATAAGAGCTGTTCTTGAAAATTTCAGTTTCTGTCAGAGCTCTCTCAGTCCCACCTACCTCACAGGGTGTCTGCTGTGGGGAGGGGAAGGGAAAGGAGTTTGTAAACCGCCCTGCGACTCCAAGTGATGGGCGGGGCATAAATCCAATCTCCTCCTCCTCCTCTTTATTCTCAAAAACTGATGCAGGCGGGTAGCCAT